TCTCTCTCTCTCTCTCTCTCTCTCTCTCTCTCTCTCTCTCTCTCTCTCTCTCTCTCTCTCCCTCCACTACCCTCCTCGGCGTTGGACTCCTCCAGCGTTGTGCCTCATGGCCGATGAGCAGCGCAGCTGCAGTCTCGAAATAGCGCAGCAGGGAGTCTCCAAAATAGTGCAGCAGCCAAGTTCCTGAACCAGCATAGCGCTGGGTTTCTCCTGGTACTTTCTGCCCCCGAACTGGGGAATGGCCCAGCTTATGTAGCGCTGGGCCAGGACTGAAAACCCATGGCCTGCGTTCTGGGCCGTGCAGATCGAAATCCGATCCACGGTCCAGATCGCAGGCTTTGAAACTGGTTCATCCCTTGGCCTAAAACGGCCTGCCTGGGTCCCTACCGGACGTCCAGGCCCTGTCCAGGATTCAGTTTCCTGGTACCTGGCTTCGAACCGGTCCTCTGCGGACGTATCCGGCCTCAACGTCGGCCTGGGTCCGAACAGGTAGCAATCTGTTCGAAAACAAAAGAAAAGGTCCAAACGTTTTTAGGAGCTCATCCTCTGGGCCTGGATTTGGCCCTGGTCCTAAAACGTGTACCTGGCCACAAAACGGACAACAGTACAACCGTTAGAAAAACAGCAGCAAATAAATAAATAAAAGAATATAAAAATAATCTAAAGCTGGCGTTTTCCTGATGCAGGCCTAAGTAAGAATGCCATAGGGCCTTCAGGTTGCGGTGACGCGACCTGGGGGCCCTATTCCAACCTCGGGTCCCGTGAGGGGCCCGTGTGTAGGCTTTCAGCATGTAACAGTGTGTGTGTGTGTAGAGTACTGAGTGAGTGTGCATAGGATATCCAGGGAGATCCAGTGTGAAGTGCATGTGAGCAGTGAAGGTGAACACAGAGTTGGGGAAGTGTAAGCGCTCAGGCGCCATAGTCAAATTGCAGCAAGTTGGTATCTGAACTGTGTTCTCGATTTGAATATCTCTCAGCTTTGTGTGGGCGCCCAGCGCCAGTGTGGTCTACCATCTGTTCGCATGTATGCAAAGTGAAGAAGAAAGCGAGGCTGATTTCAGTTCACAAGAATCCTAACCTATCTTTGTCGGTGCCTCGTTGAGTGAACAGATGCATGCATTTTTGTGACCAAAAAAAAAAAAAGGAAGAAAGAAAACATAGCACCTTCCCTGTTTGCAGGGATTACGTGATTACCTCTGCCAGTATGCTGTCCCGACAACCTGTCTCAGCTATCTGTACCTTTATGCTGTCTGGCCAGCGCAGCACCTGCATGTACACAGTACCGTAGCAACATACATTTTACTCAGTTCAATCATATCCATCTACTCTCTCTCCTCCTTTTCCTTCCCTTCCTTCCCTTGCTGCTATTTTATTAGCAGTGTTTGACTTATCTACGTGGGAGTGTTTTTGTGATTTTCAGTGGAACAAATACAACATAACATGGTGGTGTTTGAAACAGGGCGGCTGAAAACTCGATCCATTTGTCTGCAACATGAACAAAGGCAAAAATAAAAATTGGACATGAATTCCATTTTAGTAGTAGGCTAGCAGCCTACCGTCTTCGCCCGAATAGAACGCCTGGTCATTATCGCTGCATCTGGACAGAAAATTGCCCCAAATACGGCTATAATGACCGGGTGTTGTATTCGGGTGACGACGGTAGTAGTACGTCGTGTGTCCCTCCGATTTTCTTCACTTTTTTTCTCCTGTTTCTTTCTCCTCACTTTTGCTAGCTTATGCTAAATCTCGTCAGTGTCCTCCTTTTCGCAATAATGTCTCTTCTCCATGCCCTTTCTCATCTTCTCCTTTGTGCCCTTTCTTTTTATAACCTTTCCTTCCCTTGCAGTTTGCTTTTTAGTGAGCTGAGCAATGAGGAATGTAAGGATCTCGTTTGACGGCCATTCCTAATGAAAAAAGTTTAAAAAATCTGGACACTCAGTGGATACCCTGGACCCTGGAGAAGAAACCTTCTGTTTCCCCATCACATGGATGGAGGTAGACTCCGCTTCTTAAACCACCAGTACTTGGCCCAGCTATCAGCCACGGAAAAAAAAATAGAGTAGAGTAGAAACGTTTCGAGTCGGATGAATTTGGGCGCTCCTGTAGTGGCCCGTACGTTTCCTAACATCGTGGCTTGTTAACGGGCACGATTTTAGGAAGTACTCGTGGTTTAAAATGGATTAGTCTACCTACAGAAGACACAGCTGCGAGAGATCTAGAGAGAGATAGATAACGGTCACAACGTCGCTGTACCGCAGCACGAATAGGAACCAGATTCTGCACAAGCTGTGAGCGCTCAGTACAAGCCAGTGCAGGATGAACTCAGCCCAGCCCAACCCAGCCCAGCCCAGCCCAGCCCATGTGGCTGAATGGAACGCCCATGACCCGTTGATAAACAGACCTGACTGAGTTTGAATCCTCCATGGGCGGGTCAGTTTGAACTTTGAAGATGATAGCTCAAGGCCAAGCGCCGATGGCCTTTTTTTCCTCCTTTTTTTCCCCAAAAAACACAGAGTGCAGGATGAGCAAAGCACTTCTTAATTCGAACCAAGGAACATAGGTTCAACACACTCCTTCGTTCCCCACCGAAAAAGGGTGACGGCCTTGAGATGTCATCTTTTTTGAACTGACGGGGCCCCAGTAAATTCAGAGTTACATCTGGTTGCAGCTGGATTCGAACTTGCGTTTGTGTTTCTACTGTTCATGGGTGTACGAACTGAGCTAAGCCAGTTGGTGCTGTTTCAACGCAATCCGAGCTTCAGGGAAAAACGGAATAGCATGGTAACCACGGACCCGGACACCGGACACTCCCGGACTGTCTTCCGGACCAGTGTCTGGACCGGTCCAGACTGTCCAGTGATCCGGACATCACCGGACCCAGACAGTCCGGACTGGTGTCACGGGGTACAAAATGCCTGGACAAAGAACACTTAGAAAAGAAAGACAACTTAGAAAAGAAAGACAACTTAGAAAAGCACTTTTAACTTAGAAAAGCACTTTTAAGTTTTAAAATGCATGTTGGTTGTAACTTGTAAAGCTGTAAAGCTGTTTAGTACCTGCAGCTGGAAAACTTCCTTGAAGTCGACCGAGAAGTCTTGCCGGAGTGCTCGATCCTTCGTTTGTGCCACAACATGGCCGTTAACGATAAGCCTAGCATATATATTTGTTCGTTGGATGGCCCGTCTTCTGGCTGCTTCAGCCCGTGGCACATGTGCTTCCTCACGAGGCAGTCCAAAGGCCAAAACGGGAACCGGAATAGGCTCTCCGGGCCGTCGCCTGAATGGCCCCCTCAACTCCTCCATGATCTTCCTTGTCATGCATGCATGCATCAACAACAGCAAGCGAAAAGAGTCAACTCGAGACCGACATCGCTCCCTTGGAGTTCCATTCCATTCTCGAAGGAGTCTGATTTCGAAAGGAGTCCCATTTTCAAAGCAGTCCCATTTGGGGACATAAGAGTCTGGCAAGTGGAAAGGAAAACTGTGAGATGAAAAGTTGGCGACAACCATCAGGATGTCGTTCGATTGCCAAACATGAGCGCAATAAAGCTGACAGAACAGTATTTCACACCGGTCCATTAAAGTAAAGTATAGCAACAAAAAGAATATCATAGTAATCAATGACTAATCAATGTAATCATACATCAATTCCAGTTACGCTCCTTCTCTCTCAATATGTATGCCAAGCACAGGAGGGCAATAACCAGTCCAGATTCATGCAGCCCATGAAGCACAGGAGACCAATAAGCAGTCCAAAATAATGCATACGAGTTAAGGTAAAACGAGACATATGACCTATCCTATTGTCTCCAAAATTTTAATTAATATTTTATCTTTTAGTTAATCCAGGATAATCCTCGTATTATGCACAATTTCGTGACTACAACGTAGTTCATGATGCCGCCTACCATTTGATTTGGCCAAGAAATGGATACGACAGGCCAAACACATTAAAACAATTAGGGACGCCCGTTAAAATTGGAACGATACAGAGAGAAGATTAGCATGGCCCCTGCACAAGGAATCAAGGATGACGCGCATATATCGAGAAATGCTATAAAAAAAAAGACAAAAACAATCAGGAATGAAATTGTTGGAATGATACAAACTTCAAAAAAAAGAACACTATTTGCATGCGGGCATACTTTCCTGAATGCATTTATCCACGATTATGGCGATGTTCAGTTGGAAAGGGGGGTGGGTGTGTTCACATGAAAGTTATCCATGTATAGAGTGACTGTACACTCGAATGTTTTGGAAGGGCGAAAGGCTCCCTTTTGTCTTCATCACCCCCCTTGCACAAGCCCTAAATACTAAATAGTAAATAGTAATCACTTTTTCATTAACAACTCAATTGCCCTCCCAACCGGAACTCAGGCCTTTAGCCCTTCTGTAGGGTGGCTGGAAAAGGAGCCATCGAGCACAGCTCCTCCTCTAGCTGTCCAAGACTGCCTCCCCTCCAGTGATATGGCAAATGCTGAAGTTGATAACGGAAATCAACCACTGATTATGACTTCACAAATGGGCCCCCAACTCATCATTCTGGCATCTTGCACACTTGATTTCGGTTAACCTTTGTCTACCCAATCCATGGTTGGACAAACAGAGGCCAATGAATGGAAGCATGGGGCAGGGGAGAGAGAGAGAGAGAGAGAGAGAGAGAGAGAGAGAGAGAGAGAGAGAGAGAGAGAGAGAGAGAGAGAGAGAGAGAGAGAGAGANGAGAGAGAGAGAGAGAGAGAGAGAGAGAGAGAGAGAGAGAGAGAGAGAGAGACAACCAGCCAGCCAGCCAGGGCACTGGCATAAGCACAAGTGAGTGTGAGAGGCCGCACCTTTTGTTTCACAGCAGAGCGGTCGAAAGGCTCCGATTTGGGGGGTCTCATTTGCGCCAGCTCCTTCCTCATTTCTTCGAGCATGATTCTACCTGCACAATCCCAACTATCTTCAGCTTCCTCCAGGCCCATGTCATCTTCCTCATCTTCTCCAACAACTCCCAGCAGCTGCTCCTTGGCATTTGTTTTCCTCTCTTTTCTCTCCCGTTTGTCTTGGCGCACTCTCTCCTCCTCCTTCCTGACCCTCTCCTCCATAGCCTGCTTGAGTTCTTGATAAGCTCTTAATCTTCCTTCCGTCTCAACTTCATGTTGGATTCTCATTGCCCCCAATCTGGCTCTTACATCATTCTTCATCTTATGTCTTTCTTCTTCCTTGTCCACTTCTTTGTGCCTCACAATAAGCTTTACAATCGTTGATCGATAGCCCTGTGCTTCCCTGACTCGTTCGATCTCCCTGTAAAGTGTGACCATATGTTCCAGCATCTGCCCACGCCGAATCACCTCCTGATTGTACAACTGTCTCACATCTCTTATATCGCCGCAACACTCGTTCACACGCTCCCAAACTGCTTCCAGCTCCTCTGCTTTCTCCAAGGACTCAGCACCCCCTCCGCTTTTCTTAACCGGCGAATCATCTACTCCTAGATCCTGAGGATTCTTAGGGCTGGCCAACTCCTGCTGCCTTTCCTGCAACTGCAGTTCGCTTCGCAGGCTTTGAAGGCTTCCATAGGCAGCAACTAAGGTACTCTGCAGCGCCTGGATTTTGCTTGTATAAAATCCCTCCAAATCAATCTTCTCCTGCCGTTTGTACTCCCTGCATGTATATAAATATCCAATTAGGTGCACAAGACGTTTATTTTTTCCCACCTCTTAATTTCATAAAAACAGACAAACTAAATGCAGGCAAGCAACTTCTTCAAGTTCACAGGCTTCAGCATCTGCCCATGAAAGAGCCAGGCTGCCCTAAGTGAAGGCGGGCCTGTGAAAAATGTAGTCGGGCCTGAGAGGCGGCCGGCAGGGAAGTTTCCGGGCCTGAGAACAGGAGCCAGCCCCCCTGTAACTAGCCAGTAGGCCCAGCCTCCAGTCAGTGACAGTGGCTGCTTGCTGGCGCCATCCGTAGCTGGAAAGCGGTAGCGAGGCAGCATGGTGGCGACGTGTGGAAAAGGTCAGGGAGTGAAGGGAGGCAGTGGGGACTGGCAGGTCTTACCTGGTGTTGGCAGACGAAGCCTGTGTGAGCAGACTCTTGAAGCAGGATCCAGCAAGTAACACAAGGACAGAGAGTGAGAATCTGGTAGGCTGGCGTAAGTGGAGGTGGTAGGAAGTAGACTAGAGCAGTCACATCTTAGTAGGACTGCTATACTGTTGTTGTATTGATGATTGGAAGCTAGAGGTCGGGATTGCTTTATCAAAATGCTTCAGTGTTCTGTTGGCTCCTAATAGGTGTGCTATTGGCTTCGGTATTCTGCTTTCCAGCCTCCTTGAACATCTCTCATAATATGTTCTACAATGTAGAAAGCTAAATCTACATGAGGCGTATAATGCATTGCTAAAAAAAATCTTGCAATTATCTAGATAACTCAGTTGAATCATGCTTGTTCTTCTATGAGCTTTGAGTCTTTGACATTTTGGGAAGTTTGTGTTCTCATTGCGTGGTCCTTGCACGTAGGGAATTCTTCCTGGTTCTCCTTTCTTTCCTTTTCGTCCTTCTCCTATCACTAGATTCCCTACCAATTCACTGGTGCTGGTTCTTCCAGAGTGTGTGGTGGTGGGACTGCGCACATGCATTTACACACACATGGTACAGCAACGCACACACCATCACCGTTCCGTTTGATCTTCAGGGTTGCTGATGAGGGGTAAACCTCATGGGTATTCTTCTTCGCACACGTTTACAGAGAAAATAGTCGTGTCTGAAGATGCTTTCACACCTGAGGATAAATTATTGAGGGCTGCAACTCCTGTCCTAAATGCTGCTCTCACCTGAAGGCATGAAGCAGTCTTCCTGCCAAGATGTCTTCCTGACTTGATAGGGGGTGCTCATGAAAGTCCACTTGGCGGATCTCAACATCCAGCCTGTAAATTCTTTCCACTTTCATCTGAATAGACCTTAGGAATCCGGCTTCATACGGTGCATGAAGCACCGAAGAGGAAGACGAAAGGCGCCTCCGCCTTGTTGAAGAGGCCAGTCGACGGCAGCAGTTGCATCGTTCTGGTCTCTCTTTCAGAGGATCTGGAGCACACCGCATTCTCCCCACAAACTCATTGGCCCATTTACTATCCCTCCCTCCTCCCTCGAGAGATCGTTCCCCGCCTACTGTCAGCTTGTCCGAAGATGACTTGTTGTCCTCTTTCCCCTCATCCTCCTCACCGCTATTACTTCGCCACCACTCTTCAGCCCCCTCAAACCACACGTTCGTCAATCTTAGTCCTCTCATCAAACTCTCGTGTGCTAGCCGCCTCTCCATCCTAGGAGCACACGCACTACATCTCTGAGGAAAATGTCCAACGTAAAGGCCATCATCACTTGGCAAGTACAAGACCAATTGCAGATGGCTTTCTCCACCTTCACCTGCCTTCCCACGATTGCCGCTACCACCCTGCACATTTCTTTGGTAGTGCTTCTCCACTAACCCATTCAGCTCTTCTATTGACAGCTCTCCGTATGGAAACTGAATAAGGAACTCCTCTAGAGGACCACAAAGTACATAACCTCTCCAGGCGGAGATGCCTGATTCCATGGAAGTGAACAGCAACTGGTTCACAATCCTCTCGTCAACTGGACGAGGAGTTACGATTCCTCTGCTCTTCTCTCCTCCTCCTCCTCCTGATGCTGCTCCTGCTGCTATTGCAGTCATCGGCCCTTCTACTCCATGTGTGCGCTGTCCTTTTGCTGCTGCTGTTGTGACGCGCATAGCATTTGGAGTGACATCAGCAGAACCACTCCTCTCCGAAGGGGACATCTCAGCCGTTCGTTGCCCTTCAGCTTCATCCCGTTTATCTGGGAAGTTGCCCTGTGAAGTTCCTCCAGATGTAGACATGTCTGCTGTTTGCCGACCTTCACCTCTATCCCACACTTCCTCCTCCTCCTTTTCCTTCTCTGCCTCGGTCTCCTTCTCCTTCTCCTCGTCCTTCTTCCTCCGTAAAGACCATCGACGGGGTTTGGGTGTCCCAGCTCTCTTTCGGGCTCCCTTCCTCAACCTTTGCCATGAGCCTTCATCTGTTGACTCCTTGGGCACATCAGTACTGACACCTTCGCTCCCATTCACCTCACGTCTTCCTGCTCTCTTAGGCCATTTAACTTTTTTCCTGCTCTTGTTCCAAATTTCGACAGCTACGCTCCTTCCCCTTTGGGATACCCATTCGAAAACCCCACGGGCCCCAAATTGACCACGTCGACTGCTTCCCTGATCACTATGGTCTGTTGTCGGTATTGACGCGCCCTCCTCAAGTATTTCTCGTCCTTTTTCCTCCTTCTTGCCTGAAGCCTGTCCATCAGTCTCTTCCGTCGACTGCGTCCCATCTCTCTCGCTGCCTTCTTCTCTAGCAATACCCTTTCCCCTTGCTGCTTGCTCAGCTAAAATCATCTTGCCACTACTGTGTGCCAAACTTTTCTCTGACAATGCGGACACAAGAGTGGAGGTTAGCTCATACTCTCCTCCCGCTCCCGAAGTTCCCTCCCCCTCCTCTTTACTTCGCTCCCTGCTCTCCATTATGAGCTTCAACGTACGTCTCCTGCTAACTAATGGTGATTGTGCGACCTAGCCTCTGATGTAGATGGACAGCCAACAATCTATCCAAACTGCCAATATTCCAGAAGGCTTTCAAATGCCATGTGTATATGGGGTAACAGTCTGTTGAATTTCATTCTGAGGGAATCTGGCTGGATTCATACAGCGAGCGACCTCTGAAAAGAAAACATGGACAGAGACCAAAGAATAATAGAATGCCAAAAGATCGCCGTTAGTCCAATGATTCACAGCTTCACACCTCTCCATGCGAATCAGCATTTCTGAGTTCAAATCTTGTGTAACAATGTCAAAGGGTTTTGTTCCATTTCTTTTTCACAATCGAATTGAATCAATCACCACTTCTTCTGAGTTCAGATCTTGTGTAACAAATACTAACAATCCAAAAGGGTTTGTTCCACTTCTTCTTCACATTGTGTGTGTTTACTTCAACTTTACTATTAATATGCCCAAGTGGGAAAAAAATTGTGTGCGGTTTTGGTTGCAATACAAGGGTAGGTGCGCTATGTGATCATCAACGTTTGTATGTAGCCTGCTCATCATGTTTCCTGCTTCGCGCAATACCCAGCCTGTCGGTTGGAGCCGGCAACTTCTTGTGCTACCCCTGTTGCAGCCTAATCGAGTTTTCTGCCCTGCCCAGGTACCGTGGACTGTTGGTAGTCCCGTGGCAAGTTTATACCATACCCTTACCGGTCCTCTCCTGTTTCCGAGATAATTATTTACCATTGGGGCCCAGAGACGACCCGTGCCTGGGCCAGGGGGACTGTGTTTGGCAGTGCCTCTGTGCCTAGGCCTCTGGACCACCTTTCCACCATGTCCCTACAGCCACTAGGGGCCCAAAGTGGACGTTTCACTGCATGTGCGTGTGGCCTGCTGGCACGAACACACACACGGACAGACATACACACACACACAAAATACGTAGTATGTAGTATGTACATATATGTATATGTGCAAGTGTGCCCCTTCAGCAGCAGACGGGTGTGTGGGCACTTGGTGCTGAACCACACAAACGTGGCCAACCTTGCATTTTTATTATCTTACATATCTCTACTTTTTTTTGTTTTATGGATGGTTTATGATGATTCATGGAGGGAATAAAAGAGAGAGTCTGGGGTTCCTTAAACACACACACACACACACACACACACACACACACACACACACACACACACACACACACACAAGCATACTTTCTGTAAATGAGTTTCTTGTTCCTTCTAAATGTGTTCTTTATGTTCTCCACTGTGTGTTGGATGTCTTTCTTTCCCTGTATTCTCCTTGAGCTCCAGGACCGTAGAGGTGTGGCAAATAATCAGTTGCTGTTTGTTACAAATACCTTTGAAAAAAAAATAAGACTCTGAAAGAGTCTATAAATTTGTAGAATGCCTGTAACACTGTTAAACCACCAGTACATGCCCCCATGCAACAGGAGAACCTGTTGTGAGCCTCTCCGAAAATTCTGGAGGCCGAGCTCTGTAGATAAAATGAATCGGCGGCGGGCAGCCTCTGAAAGGGGTCCACGGCCGATAGCTGGCATGTACTGGTGCTTTAAGGTGGCTGCTGTGTCTGGAATGCCTATGTCTCGATGTGTTCCCTGGTAGTAACAGGGCTCTACCAAAGCTACTCCCTGACTCTTGATAGTGGGGTGAATCTACAGTCTGTAGAATTGTACTTATGGTGTGAGTACGTGATAGTCTGCTTCGGCCAATGTTTTATATGTGGGATGCCGTGTCGGTGCTGCCCTGCTGCTTGGCAGCCTGGCTGCTTGCCTCCCTTGCCCTGTCGTCCTTCCGCCTGCCAGCTTGCCTTGCTGCCTCCCCAGCCAGCTTTCTGGACTTTGTGCCTGGTTGTCACTGACCTTGTTTCTTTGCTCTTTGCCTTTGTGCCATCCACCCGGCCTATGCTTTACTGATGCCTGCGTTGCCTTGTTGCTTGTGTTGTCACGGGCACGGCTGTCCACTTGCAACAGGGGTTGGAGTACATTATGACCCAAAAAAGTCAAAAAAATAAAATGGGGATTCTACAGAGCGTTGAGGGTTCAGCCTCCTGATGCACTGGTTAGAGTAAGATGAAAGTCTGTCACTACCCCTGTGTTTCTCCTTCCCATGTGTGTCTTTCTTTACTGTGCTGTCTTCTTGCCTGTTCTCCCACCCTACGTGCTTATCCCGTTGAATGCATGTACTTGGTCTGACCAGCAGAGTGCCTTCTTATTCTTGAGGGGAGCAGTAGCTGACATAAAAGTTATCAGTAAAGTGGGGCGCACATTATGCAGAGCCCATAGCATGTGTTATGCCCCTAACGTACGCACACACACACATTGTAACATACACAAAAAGAACACATTGTAACATACACAAAAAGAACAGGGCCAAATTCAGAGCTGGCTGGAGAGGACAACAGAAACGGACACCAAACCAGGGCAAAATAACGGGAACAGGAAACTGGGCCTCTCTCGGAAGACAAGCGGTGACTGGAACCTGGAACCGAAGTCAGGTAAGTGACAGAGTTCGAAAAAGAGTTTAAAAGACACCATATGGAAGGACTCAAACCAATAACAGGTAAAATGGGGGATAAAGAAAGGCGCACGGGGTCTCAAGCCCTGGACTAGACAGCACTCCTGGAATCTAGAAAATAAGGGACAAAGTCAGAGCTGGTGAGGTCAACATAAACCAAGACCCTGCTTAAGCACACCAATTTACGCACCCACCATCCCCCCTCCTTACCCCAGATACACATAATCCAATGACTGGACAGCAAGAGATATAGAGCTCACCCTGAACCCAATCCCCACTCCCTCTTTAACATCCAGATCTTCCCACCCACCATCCGCCTCCATACTCCCACATGCACATCAACATGTAACAATGGTATGATCACCCCCCCAACCCACTACCTTCGCAATCCCAACACCCATACCCCCCACCACCTACCCCCCACACACAACCCATGCAAAGAAGCTGCCTATCTGCAACCTGCATAACCAATACAACTGCCTTGCCTCTTTCCCACAAAGCATCTCCCCCAATCCAACCATGACCTCAGTTCCCCCTCTGTAATTCTCTTCCTCTATACTACATGTGGAAGCGACAGCGATGCCCATTGGCATCTAGGAAGCCAATAGCATGACAAGCATTCTGCATGGGCCTGCTCTGTCTCCACTGAGAGGGTGCCTCCGAAGTTAAGACCCTTCATGATGAAAGAGCTGAAAACTGAGTGTCTGCTATGCTATTGTGCTGCTTCCACACACAAAGCTGCGAGCACTTTAGTGTGTAAGGCAGGACATTCCCTCTGCCTTCTCCAGTGTAAGGATTAAGAGGAGACAGCTCGCTGGGACAACTGCGGCAGAACACGTCCCATATTGTGATTGCGATAGAAGACACTGGGGATATTTCAACTCCGGTTATTTTTTATTTATTTTTCTAAAAATTTGGACCATTTCTCGATTTATGCATGTCATCCTTGCGCAGCAACATTTGTACGGTCACTGCTTTTTAAAAGGATATCCTAATCATCTGGTCCAAAATGATATACCTTCGATACCCTGCCTTGTTCTTCCTCTCATGTTTATTGTTTGCTCTCTCTCTCTCTCTCTCTCTCTCTCTCTCTCTCTCTCTCTCTCTCTCTCTCTCTCTCT